ATAGTGTGGCGATCGAGACAACACTACTCTAAGGGGTCTACAGAATTTTTGTTTTCCAAACGCCTAAAAATAAACCTCTGAGGCGTTTTTGGAAAATCAATCATTTCTTTTTTTTACTTTCCAAAAAAAAAAAAGGGTGGGGGGTGGTTTCCCTAAATCCAACCCATGCCTCGGTGAGGGTACCAGATAAAATCTCTGCAAAACCCGTGCCATCTAATTTTAGAATTAACGAGACTACGATTTTTAATGCATCTCAGGTTGCTCATGCATTTAATGATTATTTTTCTTCCAACTTCTCTGAACAAGCGACTCCTAACACTCCTGAGCTTTTGTGCAGGGACCATGCTGGCATATTTCCTTTTTTACATAATATCCAAACCAATAGTCATGAAGATCTTAAACTGATAAATAAACTTAAATTTGGTAAAAGTCCTGGTCCGGATGCCATAACAACATCCATGCTGAAAATATCTGCAATCAATATCTCTGAGCCACTCAGCCGTCTTTTAAATATTTCCTTAAAGCTTGGAGAAATACCTGCAGATTGGAAGCGTGCGAGCATAGTACCTGTGCACAAGGCTGGTATCAGGTCTTGCATTGCAAACTATAGACCTATTTTGCTTTGTTCTGTAGTTGGAAAGTTACTACATAGAGTTGTATCAAACCATTTAAAAACCTACATGAATGCATTTGGACTTATTTCAAATTACCAACATGGTTTTGTTAGTGGCCGTTCATGCACTGCCCTGGTTAGTGCTGTTCACCATCATTGGGCTTAAATATGGACGAAAGAAAGCCCCTTCACATAGACGTGATATTTTTGGACTGGAGTAGTGCTTTCAACACCGTTAATCACTCTATTCTCTTTAAAACAAACTTCATGATTATGGTATTTGTGGGCCGCTCTGGAAATGGTTTAAGTAATTCTTATATAACCGTACTCAAAAAGTTGATTATTGGGGTGCTTCCTCCTATTTATCTGATATAACGTCTTGAGTTCCACAAGGGTCTGTTTTGGGACCAATCTTGTTTAAATTATTTGTTCTCGATTTGTAATGACTATTGTTAAGTCCCATATTCCCTTACATGCTGATGATGCAGTCCTATACCGTGCCATCAGATCTCATAATGACGAAACAATACTTCAAAATGACCTAAAGAACGTTAATGCATGGAGCAAAAATAATGGTATGCGCCTTAATCCGTCTAAATGTAACATGATGAGAATCACTCGCTCATCAGTAATTTAAAATTCCATAAAAACTTACAATCTTGATAACACAGAACTCTCTATTGTAAATAAACACAAATATGTTGGGATTACTATTTCTTCTAACCTTGGCTGGGGTGATCATCAATGCTATTTCTACCAAATCTTTTCGTCTTTTCGGTTTTATTAAACGTCTAATTCCGTTTAACAATCCTTCTGTCACTCTCAAACTCTTCACAACTCTTGTCCGTCCCCTACTTGAATAAGGTGTACCAGCGTGGTACCCGTATCAATCTGGCCACCGTATACATAAGCTTTAGGATATTCAGAGAAGGGCTGCAAGGGCTTGTTTTTCTTTTAAAAGTTGTTTTTATCTTATGACGATAGGCTAACTAAACTTAATTTAATTTCAATTAAAGATAGATTTGATATGATGTCCATCTCCTTTGTTTGAAAGTGCCTATTTTGTTTATATCACCTTGACATCTTCTCATATATTTCTATTAATGCGCGCATACAAACAATCTTAAATTTTCTTATTCCTTTGCCTGGACAAATACTTTTAAATACTCAATTTTTAATTCATTTCCCAGATTATGGAAGACATTACCTGCTGACCTCTGAAATTCTTTCCTTAATACTTGTTACAAATATTTTCTTAACAATCTGAATAAACATTATGCTAACTCTTAATTATTGAAATCAATGTTTAAATTTAAATTTTTTTTTATTTTAAATTTTAAATTTTTACAACACTTTTTATATTTTTAACCTCATTCTTTTTAAATATTGTAATTAATCTTGTTTTAAATATTTTAAGTGCAATGAAATTTTTGATGATTTGTTTGACATTTTTACTTTGAATATTTTAAGACAATTTTTAATGCTTATCTGAATATTTTTATATCTCAAAATACCTTTTAAATTAAATTTGCTCATTTAATGATATTTACACATTTTTTCTATATTTCAATATTTATCTTTCGATTTTTTAAAATCTTTTTTAAGAATTTATATTTAAGTATTTGTGTTTTTCTCGTGAAGGGCCTCCACTCGACAGTGATTGATTTTACTTTTGGAGTGTCCTGTCTCTTGTTTTTTTTTTTGTACTTTTGTGATTGTTCTTTGTCGTTTCTGTTTATGTACATTTTAATTGTTTGAGACAAATAAATGAAATGAAATTGAAAAGAACCCTTGAATCTTGATAAGACGACTACACCCTACAAAAATACCATTTTTACAAACATTAAAACGAAAAAAATTAACATAAAGAAGAGGTTTACTACGAAGATTACGAACGGGGACATTACGATGGAACAACAAGAAAAGATTACAGTTATATTTTGAATTAATAGCCCTGTCTTGTTCTCCTATATGCTGGAAAAACAATAGACCCCTTTCAATGTTTACATAGCCTATCTGTAACGCTGACGGCGCCCTATTCAGCAAGCAAAAGATCCTCGAGATAGGAAGAAAACGACTTTAAAAATTGAAAAAAAAAATTGAAAAAATATGATTTTTTTAATTCTTAATTCATTATTTTTTTCCTGTCGATTCCTAATATTTGTAACTATGACATACGGTATGCGATTTTCATCCATGTAGCTTTTGTATTTTTGGCAAAAATACAAAAGCTACATGGATGAAAATCGCATATGTCATAGTTACAAATATTTGGAATCGACAAGAAAAAAATAATGAAAATTAAAAATTAAAAAAATCATATTTTTTCAATTTTTAAAGTCGTTTTCTTCTTATCTCGAGGATCTTTTGCTTGCTGAATAGGGCGCCGTCAGCGTTACAGATAGGCAAAAAAAAATAAAAATAAATAAATAAATAACTGGTGCTGGGTCGATGAAGCGCAAGACCTTTTTATGGGTCCGTTGTATTCTGGAAGCATTGAGAGAGAATTAAGTTATATAAAACTGAGCAAAAATCAAAGGATGGTTGGATGAGAGAAAGATATAGTGCATGTTTATTGTGAGGAGAGAACTGTCATAATTGCGCCACATCAGCCCAAGCAGTTTATTGACCTTTCTGACAATATGGTCAACAAGAACAATAAAAATGCCGAGGTCTCGATAAGAATTAACACTTTCAAGAACCTCGCCCTGAACGGAGTAAGCGAAAGTGATGGAGTTTTTCTTTGAGAGAGCAAGACAGGACCTTGCATTTCTTTATTTTATCAGACGAAAACCACCAACCGAGCCCTTCCAGATTTTAAAAAAAAAAGATAAAGTAGAAGAACAAAGTTTAAGATTATGATTGCTGATAGGATCATTTGCCAACTACCATATCCACACTGATTGACCTTATGAGATATTTGTGATAAGAGACATGGTGATAAATATTGATGTTAATGAGGATATCTACATTGAGCTCAGGCAGGTCGAGAAAAACGCTGAAACAAAAAAGTTGTTAAATAATGTGGTTTTCGTCTGCGGGCTGTCAGTAACCTTGTCCGTATCAGAGATAATTTGCAATTAAGTTTATAGTTATCCTTATCATAATCACCACCATCTTGATCATCATCATTAACATGATCTTATACCATCATAATCGTCACTATCATTATCATTATCATCATCATCACCGCCATCGTCATCGTCATTGACATCATATTCATTGTTGCATTCTTTGTTGTTACAATTTATAACCCAAGTCATTTCGATAATGATTATCAATTTTATCATAATTTATTAGTATTTGAGACGTCTTTCCTGTTGTCATCGGACCTTGCTAAACTAAACGCATCGGAACCGATAATATTTGAAGATAGCAGGTGAGTCTAGTATCCGTCCCTAATGAGGTTAAGAATGGAGGAATAGGTTAAGCGAGCTTTCGATTTTAGGACTCTAGACGATCAAGATTGTAATTGGAATAGAAAACAAATCTTTTAAGTCCCCGTCCTGTAGGCCCACTCGAGGGCGGCGCTAGCGGGGGGTACGGGAGGGCAAAGGACCGCCCCGTTGGGGACCTTTGAACCCCCTGACTCGACCCCTAGCAAGGTCGTCGGGGAAAAATCAAATCCTGAGCGCCGAAAATACAATTCAAGCATGCCTTACACTCAAGCTCTGTTTAGTGCGATCAGTTTTTACCGTATGTGCGAGGTGTTGTAGGCCTATACTATTACGATCGTGGGCTGCAGTGGTGACTCCAGCTCTTAACTTGCATGGTTTTCTATCGAATTATCTTTTTTAAATAAAGAATCCCGTAATTTACACAAAATTTTATTTTTTCCCCGACAAACTTATTTTCCCCCCGATGTGTGTGTGTGTGTGTCGGGGGGAATTGGAAGCTCGCTTATTACGAAACAGGCAATTAGCCACAGAGCTAGTTTTCGTAGATGACTTTGTATCAGTTTTTATTAAATTGTTATTTATTTCCTAAGCTTCTCCACTCAATTTCAGCGTATCTGTCTATCCAATTGGTGCAGTGTTCGGTTTAGATCTTTTTGCATCAGACGGTAGTAAACTATCAGCGAAAACAAACTTTTTTTTCCCGATTAACCTTGTAAGTTAATTTTTTGCAAACATTCGTTATTAAAAAAAAACTATTGTTAAATATTATAATGACTAAACAGATTGTTAGTATTTTTATGATTATTGTTATTGCCATTTTCATTTATTATCATTATTAATAATATTAATATTATTATTAATATTATTTTAAATAAATTTGTCACTCATTATTTTCTCAGACTACACCTTTAGATAACGCTTTATACCCAGAATCAAAACTTGACTTAATATGCGTTTTCTTTGATCATGGAACCAGGTAAATCACAATTTCAATTTGTCAAAATGATGGTTGGGTATTACAAGGCGTTAAATGTCAATCACATTTGTGTTCAATTTTTTTCCCTTTCTTCAGAAAGAGAAATTTAAATTATTTGTGACTAGCTCCGTTTGTCTCAATTTCTAATGTAGCACAAGCACCTAAAACGTTTGAGAATAAGAAACACTGTTTTTAAGAGGAATTCATGTAGAATATAAAAATACAAAAAACTCAATTTTAATATGTTCATACAAACTGCTGGTTTTGCCAGATCCGGTCAAATTTTTAAAGATTAAAAATATTTTTTTTGACGGACAGGTTGCCAGTAGTCATTTCGTTGACAGTGTGCCAATGGGCCGAGCTTTCGTAGGGCCTTAATAAATTTTATAACCCACACTGGATGGCAGTGACAAACCCTCTGTCGGCGAATAAAATACAGTATATGTCCGTAAATAAGTAATTTACAATACACAATTTTGGCAAAAATGTCAATTTGTCACCGAAACGTCCTGTAGTAAAAAAGTGTCAGCTAAAGTCCATTCGACCAATAATCTTTCGTGAGATCAGTGGCGTATGGAGGAGGCATGCGGCATCTATCTAAGGCTTCGTGGATGTAACAACTACCCTAGGGGTTGGAGCCACGATCGGGCTTCAGTTAGATCGGTAAAGCACTAATTTTTAGAGTTTTTGACGTGACAAAAGGGCGTACTCCACACGTTCTAAAGGCGCCCACTGGGGAGACTTGGGCCCATGGTTCCTGCAAATAAATAATGCCGCTTAATAACCCGGGGGTTTGGGCCCCTGGCTTTAGATTGTGAGAACTCATAGCTATGATTTATTTTTTTCTTAATTGAATTTTCAATGCACTTATTGTGTTCACACCTGAATTTTAAGAAAGATGAAAGGTTTGTTTGTCTGTTTTATAAGGACTTACTGTGGAGAGGATAAAGAGTAGTAATAAAAAAAATGAATAAAAATGTGAATATCATTTTGCTGACGACATTTGAGTGACATTTATTAAAAGGAAGAAAGCCGCCACAATCATTATAATTCTGTTAGTAATCATAATACTATTATCTCTAGGATGTGGTCGACAGACCGACTGACGACGGGTGAAGTGTCTAATGTATCGATCGAATGTAAAAGTGAACACACAACCAGCTTTTCAATTATGATGCGAGTTACAAAAAATGTAAGAACACAGTTGGGTGGAAATGTGTTAGGTGTTTAAATTAAAAGTGTATGATAACAATTATATTGATTAAATTAATTATTATCTATGATAAATATTAACATTAACGATAATAACAATTAAAAAACGTTAAAAAAATTGAAAGCAATAATAAATCTCAGTAATATAATAATGTTTATAATAATTCTTTATCTTCTACCATTTTGTAATATAAATATTATAATAAGAAAAATTGATTTAATTTTTAAGATAATGGTAATACTATCACGTATATAGGCCTACGTGAGGACAAGAGATGTTTGCATTTTTTATGCTAGTAAGAATATTAAATGAAATGATAATAGTGTATAAGTAGAACAGTTTAATTGGATATGGAAGTCTTACTTCGGTTTCAGGAAAATCTATATTTTGAAAGGGTTTTATCATATATATCAGGGTTTTGCCTCGGAATATCCATTTCGATGTCATTACCAACATTCATGGTTTTACTTTACGTCAGGTAAGAATCGAAATGATTTTTGGAAGTTATTTTTTTTTCGGCATGAAAATATGTAACCAAAGCTATGTTGACTGTGATTCTTTCTTATGTTTATTATTCTATTTCTTGTTCTTTGTTATCTGTCTTTCTCTTCATTCTCCTTTTCATTATTATTAAACTTTTACTTTTACTTTATTCTGACCTTCTTCTCCTCTATCCTTTTGTCTCTTTCCTTGCCCGTCTTCTTTTATTTTTCGCATTCTCCATCATAATTATGCCTATACTTCTCCTACTCTGTCTCCTCCTTCTCTTTATCTTTCTCTTATTTTTTGTTTTCTTTTTTTTTGCCTTCTTTCTATTTACCTCTATTTTTACATTACTTCATGGTTTTACTTCCCCTTCTACTACTACTGCTACGCCTACCTTTCATCTCTTTATCTTATTATTTATCCAAATGTCTATAATAATAAAAATAATAATAATAATAATAATAATTATTATTATTATTATTATTATTATTATTATTATTAATCCTTTGATGTTACCTACGTTTATATTTCATAGAGAACTTCGGCTGTCTACTCGTTTCATCATCGTGCGGAATGCAATTCTCTGTGTATTTCTCAGAGACTGCACATTCCTCATTTCGGATCGGATAGCAGAATTGAAGATAAAAGTGAGATTTTTTTTTGCGTGGACTTAGTAGGCCTATCGATATTATCACTAATTAGTCATCATGATCTTTAATCCTGTTTGCTACTAGGTAAATTTATTCGGATGAATGTGCATTCGACACTAATTCTATCGGTCAAACCTTCTATTAGACGAATTCTGTGTTCTTTGATTTTTTTCGCTTCTCAAAAATAAAAACAGTTCGAACTACTGATTTCGCTGAGGCAAAAAATTCCAATAGAAATGTGAATGCGCATGCTCATGCACCTCCGACGCTTTCGATTCTCAATTCGCCTAGTGGAGAACAGACCCAATACTAGATGGTTTTTACTAGGCAAATACATTCTATTCACGCGACAAGAACATTTCGTTGCTATTGAGCATGGGGGGGGGGGCGTGAGGGAATATAAAGCTCTGATTGACAGCGCATTGTTTCGCTTTGCAAAAAGTAATCAATGCTGCGTCACCGAAAGTGTTATCACAATAATTTCTTTTCAGATCCATTTGTACTGCAACTGCAATCATGAGCAATGAGAGAAACAAATTAATTGGGATACACTAAAAAGGTACCTCCTGGAAAACTGGCTTTAACAAAGAGCTAAATTGGTTTCATCACGGGCGTGATGACTGGGAGTGAGATTCTTGAGTGAAAATGATCGAAAACGATTCCGAAAAATGAGTTTCGCAATATGCCTGTTAATTGGCGTTAACATTATATATTTGTTTACGTCTCAACAGTACAAATACATGCAAAAAAAAACCAAATCACAAAATAATTTTACTAATAGATAAGTTTGGATAGGTTTTCGATAGGTCCAAAACAAATTATCAAACAAAACAACTATCAGAAAAAAACCCTAAATATATTATATAACAAAAGAACGAAAAATATACAAATTAAAAAAGCCAATTAAGAAAAGGATTAAAATTTGATATGAAATTAAGGTTATAAAAGTAAAATAAAACCAAGGAGGTATTATTGAGCTCACTAGAAAAAGCTCCACGCACTCAGCGCTATGCTAATGAGCCAAGAACGAAGCTGCCACAGCGCGTGAAGAACATTTGGCCGATGCCATTATGGCATTATGGCCCATTACAGTCACTCTGAAATTTGAGATTGAATGACTAGATTGAAATGTTCGGCTACTGGTTGATCAAGCATAGATGTTGTGATAGCTGATCAATATTGTGTCATTCTTACACGGAAAGTGTTTTTTTTTTTGTTTCTCCGACATATTGTTTACCACAAATATTGCAATATATGAGATAAATGACATTTTTGGTGAGGCAATTAATTGATTGCCTTATCCGAAATATGTGGTTTGTTTGGTTGCTCTTGAATGATTGTGTAGAATCAAGCAAGGAGCATGTTTTGCATG